ACCGCGCCGCATCGCAGATGGGCCCTCAACCCCGACGGCAACGCGGACTATTGCATGCAGACGTCCAGTTAGACCCCCCCGCGCGGGTGTGTGTGTGTGTGTGTGTGTCCTCGGCTGTGTTCTGTATCCCCGAGTGCCCGGCCCGCGTGTGCACGTGTGTGGTGGTGGTGGTGGTGGTGCTTTGCGTCGTGCGCGGCCGCGGTGTGTAATAGGTATGATGTAGTGTGTGTGTACGTCGGTCATGTTCATGTTTTGTTGTGTGGCGTCGTCGTCGTCGTCGTCGTCGTGTGGTGCGGGTGGTTGTGGAGGAGGCGAGTAATACAATGTGGTATGCGATGGATGTTGTGCGGCGTGTGCGTGTGTGGGTTTTGGTTTTGGTTTTGGTTGGCGTCGTGGTTGTGGTCGTGATCGTGATCGTGATCGTCGTCGTCGTCGTCGTGGGCGAGTGTGGTTCTGCGGTGCGGTGCGGTGCGGTGCGGTGCAGCGCGGTGGGAGGGTGGGAGGGCTTGACTGCCCGCTCTGCGGTGCGAGTGGTTGTCCATGCTGGGAGTACTCGGCCCTGGCGGTGTGACTCGAACGTGGAGGCGCCTCTGCGTGGGCTGCGTGGGCTGTGCGCGCGCGCGCGTCGATGTAAGCTCAGCGCCAGTGCGTGAGTGAGCGATCGTGGCGGGTCGAGCTTGCGGACTGTGGACTGCAGGGTGCGTGGGAGCAGGATGCAGAGGTAGAGTGCGGTGGTGGTGGTGGTGGTGTGCCGGCCAGTGAGCGGGCTTTGACCCCTACTTACACATCATGGCTCGAGCTGCCCCGCGAGATCGTGGGTTGCCGTGGGCTGTGCGTTCTCTCTGCGCCAAGGACTGTAAGTCGAGGCGATCGAGCGATGCGCGTCACTGCGCGCAACATTCGCGATTCTGCCAAAGAGTCGGACATGTAGGGTAAATCTGCGACACGAAACTGGGGGTGATGGGACCACTCTGGCTGCGAACACGCAAAGGGTGTTCACAGCGTGCTTACATTATTTGACAATGTTCGGCAGTGTGTTGTGAAGTTTCTCAGGACGTGCCCGCGTAATGCTGGACGGTTTCTTGCGATGTGTGGAGCATAGATATGCTGTGTCAAGAATGGGTTTCGTTTCTTACAATATCCTGGGGATATCCTGTGGCACATTGCTGATCAGTGTCCCTAGCGTGTGCGCACTGCGGCGGCGCGGGCTATATGTTCAAAAGCCATACGCGGCGCGCCGCCTGCGCCGAG